AAAAATTGAGAAATTGACAATCAAAATATCGAAAATCCAAATCTCGATAAATCGAGAAATCAAAAAACTTAAAAATTTAAAAACTTGAAAAATTGAGAGATTGAAAAATCAAAAGAACGAGAAATCGAAAAGTGATGAAGTCGAAAAATCGAAAAATAGAGAAATCGACAAATAAAAAGTTAAAAGTTGAAAAGTTGGAAAAGCGGAAAACTCAAAAAACGAAAAAATGAAAAACTGGAAAAACTAAGAAACCGAAATAGGCCAAAAGAGAAAATTGAAAAACTGATAAATCGAAAACCCGAACAATCAAATCTCGATAAATCGGGAATGAAAAATTAACAAATCGAAAAATTGAAAAGCAGAACATCTAAAACCAGGAAGTCGAAAAATCGAAAGATTAAGAAATATTGAAAAATTAAAATATCATAAGATTGAAAAATTTTAAATTTAAAAATCCAAAAATTGAAAAATCGAAAAAGTAAAAAGGTAGACACATTGAAAAATCCAGAAGTCAAAAATAGGAAAGCCAAAGAATTGAAATATTGAAAAATCCTAAAACTGAAATATAATAAAAACCGAAAAATCGAAAAATCAAAAAAGTGAAGTCGAAAAATTGAAAAATCTAAAACCTGAAAAATCAAAAAATTAAAGAACTGAAGAACAGGAAAATCGAAACAGTCGAAGGTCAAGAAATGGGAAAATCAAAACATCGATTAATTGAAAAATCGAAAAATTGAGAAATTTTTAAAAATCAAAATTTGAAAAATTAAAAAATCGAAAATTTGACAAAATGACAATTGAAAAACAGAAAATCTAAAACCGGGAAGTCGAAAAATCAAAAGATTAAGAAATCGAAACATTTGAAAAATTCGAAAATTTGAAAAATTCAAATATCCAAGAACTGAACTGAAAAATCGAGAAATCGAAATACAGTAATGATCACTTATAGCGAACCCGGTTAAAGCGAACTTCCTGATATAACGAACCAACTTGCAAAGTACGAACTGAAGTACCATAAGATACGTGTTATTTTTTTCCGATTATAACGAACCCGCTTATAGCGAACTTTCGGATAAAACGAACCAAATTTTTAATATTTAAGAAAAAAAAATCGTTTATAACGAACTTTTTCACCAGTCAGTTTTATCTCGACAATGGTCAGGAACACTTTTGTGTGAATCTATTAGATTCCGTCAATTTTATCAGTATGGCATGGCAAAAAGTATCAGAACAAACAATTGCTAATTGTTTTCGACATGCTGGGTTTCTCCAGTGTGAGGAAAAATTTGAACCAGGGGTGGGATTTTGTTTCTACCGATACGATACGATACGAAGCGATAAATGACAAGGACGAAAATATATATTTCAGATGCGAAAGAAAGAGACGACCACATTTTATCGGTACCGATATTTTATCGTTATAGAAACAAAATTCCACCCCAGAAGACGAACTACTATTGGCTGAATGGCTGAGAAAGCACGAAAGCAATTCTGACGATGAATTTGATATCGACTTCGAAGAATACGTCCATTTTGACGATATTGTAGTGAAGTCTGAAATTTTGGATGATGCTGCTGCTATTGTAGAATTAGTTTAATGCAACATTCAAACAGAAGATGAGACTGAAGACGATGATGATAACGAAGAAGAAAAAGAAGAACAAGAGGGAACGATCCCAAAACCCTCTTAAATTAATCTTTCTCACAAGAAGCAACGTAAAATTTGAGATTATTTTAAGTAACAACTTTTATTTTTAATCAACTTTTTATTAATCAAGTTTTTTTTCTTATATGTACTACTGTATTATTATCTTTACATGTTTATATTTTTGTAATACTTTTAAATGTTGCATCCTGAAATACATAGTTCAGTTTATGAAAGTATGTATCGATTTTTTTGAGATCATTTATAACGAACTTCGGATATAACGAACTACGTTTCCCAGTCCCATGAGGTTCGTTATAACCGAACATTACTGTATCTAAAATTTTAAAAATTTAAAAATCTAAAATTTAAAAATCGAAAAATTGAAAAATCGAAAAATTGAAAAATCGAAAAAGTAAAATAATCGACACATCGAAAAATCCAGAAGTCAAAAATCGAAAAGTCGAAAAATCGAAATATTGAAAAATCCCAAACTGTGATTTCGAACTGAAAAATGAAAGAAAAACTGAAAAATTGAAAACCTGAAAAATCCGAAAACTGAAATATCCAAAAACTGAGAACGTAAAAAGTCGAAAAATTGAGCAATCGAAAAATCCAAAAAGTGAAGTCGAAAAATCGAAACATTAAAAAAACTAAAAAATGAAAAATCGAAAAATTAAAGAATTGAAGAACAAGAATATCGAAATCCTCAAAAGTCAAGAAATGGGAAAATCAAAACATCGATTAATTGAAAAATCGAAAAATTGACAGTTATAAATGTCAAATCTGAAAAATTGAAAAATCGAAAATTTGAAAAAACGATAATTCAAAAACAGAAAATCTAAAACCGGGAAGTCGAAAAATCGGTAGATTAAGAAATCAAAACATTTGAAAAATTCGAAAACATGAAAAACGGAAATATCGAAGAACTGAAATGAAAAATCGAGAAATCGAAAAATCTAAAATTTTAAATATTGAAAAATTAAAATATTAAAAAACTGAAAAATCTAAAATTCAAAAATCGAAAAATTGAAAAAACGACAAGTGAAAAACAGAAAATCTAAAACCGGGAAGTCGAAAAATCGAAAGATTAAGAAATCGAAACATTTGAAAAATTTAAATATGGAAAAGTTGAAATAAAAAATCGAGAAATCGAAAAATCTAAAATTTTAAATATTGAATAATTAAAATACCAAAAAATTGAGAAATCTAAAATTTAAAAATCGAAAAAGTAAAAAGTCGACACATCGAAAAATCCAGAAGTCAAAAATGGAAAACTCGAAGAACAGAAACATTGAAAAATCCCAAAACTGAAATATCCAAAAACTGAGAACCTAAAGAATCGAAAAATTGAGAAATCGAAAAATCAAAAAAGTGAAGTCGAAATATCGAAACCTTAAAAAAATCGAAAAATTGAAAAATCTAAAACCTGCAAAATCGTAAGATCGAAAAATTCAATAATAAGTAAACTGAAAAATCCCAAAACTGAAATGTCCAAAAACTGAGAAATTAAAAAATTGAAAAATTGAGAAATCGAAAAATCAAAAAAGTGAATTTGAAAAATCGAAACCTGAAAAAATAGAAAAATTGAAAAACCAAAAAACCTGAAAAATCAATCAATTGAAAAATCGACAAATAAAGGGTTTATAAAAGTCAAAAATTGAAAAATCGAAATATTTAAAAATCGTAAAATTGAAGAGAAAAACTGAAAACCGAGAAATTCAAAAATTGAGAATTTATAAAATCCCAACATTGAATAATAAATAGGAATAAACTGAAAAGTCCCTAAACTAAAATTTCGAAAAATTGAGAATTCCAAAGTTGAAACAGCAAGAAATTATAGTCGAAACCGGTTAGGATGTGTATCAGTGTCAATTTGTTGAAAGTAAAACGCGTCGTTAAAAATATTATGACATTTTTTCTATTGTAGTTAATTTTATTTCTAGTTAGAAACAAACACTGTTGCCAACATAAGTCGAGGAGTCCTCAACCGTCATTTAATTTAAACTATGACGCTTCTCTACGTTCTCTGGCAAAACTATCGCTATTTGGAAGTGACTTCACTGCGGAGTTTTGTTAGCACTTAGGATGGTTTATCCTTTAGTCCTATTTACAGCAGGGACTAAAGTATAAACCATCCTAAGCGCTAACAAAACTTGTGAAGTCACTTCCAAATAGTGATAGTTTTATTATACCTATACCTGGCTACTTATAGGTGTCATAACCCTGGCATTAACTATACTTAACTGACAAAAAGGTGTTTTACAATTTCGTTGTAAAGCTTTTTTCAGGTTCTAGCCGAAACATAGTTTTTCGCAACATCTAAAATTGTTAATTTACTCGTAGAAATTTATTTTGAGTATATAATAGAGTCAACAAAAACTCAAAATTCACCCCAAATTTGGAATTTTTGCAATATGATCCACTGATTTAAGTAACAAAGTTCATAAACCTTTATCAAATAATAACTTGTTAGCTTAAAAAAAATTACGAGTTATAAACAACAAAATTTAGATGTATCTTTGATTTCACCTTCAGGCGTATACAAAATTTAGCAATTAGTTTTGGTTTCTAACACACATTGTAAAATGTGTTTCATAATCATGATTTTTTTTTTAAAGCCTATATATGCAAAGTTAAAAATAAGAGATTGAGTGATCCACAAAGAAGCATATTATGTTACACAAAAGTAATCCTAAAGTACACATAGAATTTCATAATGAAGGGCCCAGTATTTAAGATGAAGATTACTTCTCTAATATCCGTATTACAGTACCTACTCGAGAAATAAAAATGGCAAAATTTGGTAATCATCAATGCCATGAATAAGAAACAAATTAAAACGTCAACGCGATAAAATGTTTTTAAATTTTTCTCCATTTCACTTTAAATTATAACGTTTTAAGTTTTATTAATTTATTTAATAAAATTCAATGATCTTTATATTATTATTTTCTTGTAAATAAATAAAATGCTTTTTGTAATTTTACTGTCTTGTTTGCCTATTAAAATGTATTTTTACAACTATATCTAATAAGTAAATTCAAATAAATATTAATTATATTTTATTCAACAAAAAAGATGTATGCTATTAATTTTAGCCCATATTCTACTGGACTGGATTTGTTTTGATTGTGCTTCAGGCGCAAGGAAAGTTCTGTCTAAGTTCGTTTATGAGGGGAATTTTTTCTTTTGCTTTCTGTTACACATAATAAATTTAAAATCCAAAATTCCAGTGTGTTTGCATTTACTGAACAAAATAATTACATATCTAAATTGACTAATAAAATAACAAATATAATCTAAAAACATAAACATTTTATCCATATGCTAATATACTACCTTCTGTTTGCAGGGACCAAAGTAGATGTGGCCAAACAGTCTTACTGCTGGGTAAGTTTGATGAAAAAAGATTTTACATGTTAAGGTTAAATTTTGTATTGCATACCATTTTACGTTTATACCACTATTAATTTTAATTCGGTTTAGAGGTTTGTTGGGTGTCTGTTCTAAGTAATTATTATTTAAGTATTTTATTTAGGACAGATTTTGTGTTGTATGTTGGTGAGTCTTGGGGCTTTTCATATCAAAGACTGTTATTATTTTTTAACTTTCTGCCGTTTTACTTTTTATTGACCAATATATATTGCTATATAGAAATAGTAAACTTTTTTAAATTAAAATATTTAATTTTAAAGAAATCCAAATTAAATTTGTTGTACTAATGTAAATATCATTTGAATAAAAAATATATAAAAATATTTGAAATAAATATTTCAAGAATAACAAAATCTGTAAAAAATTTGAAGTTTGTTTTTTTTTAAGTTTTCACACAATTTAAAATCGTTTGGTAATTTACTATTGATTCAATCGAACTACCATTCGTTGCTGAAGCTGCTTGCATCTGCAACTTCGTTTGATTCAATTACACACTTCAACGGTTACGAGGTGTAAGTTTCCCACTGTAAAACAATAAACATAAAGTCGTGTGCTCCTCTAATAGAGTTGTCTAGTCGTGGGGTTGATTGAAGGGACCAACCCCTCTTCACAGCCACTTCAGCTCTTATCTGGGTTTGCAGTCGGGCTCTCGATGGCCATCACAGCTACATTGCTGCTGGAGTCTTGAGATAACAACCGTAAAAGGCTACTTGTCTGACCCCAATTCACGCAACGCATTTTTACACAGGGATGGCATTAAATGCTCCCATATCACATTCGAATAAAAAATATCTCACACAATACAGGGCCATAACAAAATGTTGACAATACTATTTATGAACTACTACTAAAATCGCAACTTTCAGATTACACTGAATAAAAGCTGTTGTTAAATTTTACTGCGGCAAACAATTTTTATTTGTACAGAACAAATATTACATAGTTTGTACATAGTTTTATTCCATTATTATCTAATTGTCGATCAAGGGTGAAATCCTGTTACATTCATGAAGTACTTATCAAAAAAATGTTTTAATCTGGTTTTAAAATTTTATCGGTTGTTTTTAACTGAAAATGTTTTCAGTGATCACTGTGTTGAATTATCTAGTTGAACTTCTACTAGTTGTGCGTCCCCCTTTTCTCTACCTCTACACTAGCGAGAAGAGGGATTTGCATTTTTGTCTGTCTATAAATCAGAGTGTACTTAATGCAATCCGTCGCCATAGCAGCAAAGGATGGGTTTTAGCCCACAGTTGGTAACATCCGATCAATTTATTGTACTCCAAACCCAATCATTCAAACACACGTGCGTCTATTTAGTGGACGTACCATAATGATGACCAGTAAATTAAGTTGAGTGATTTTCAACAGATAATAGAGTGATTTACTTGATGATTATGCATCCATTACAAAGCTAAGCCGGAGAGTGAATAGCTGTTTTGCTAACAAATTAGAGGTTTTATTCTTTATTGATAGTATGTAGTTGAAGAGGTTGCACAATCGCTGAAATACAATAGTGATGACAGCCATAGGATTTGTCTACAAAAATTAATATTATAATCGATATCACAATTTTACGCACATCTAAAAGTGTTTATTTTGTAACTGGTACCTGACGTAAATTAAGGAGCTCAAGAGTTTTTATACAAAAAATTCTTTTATACAAGGTTTAACGTAAAAAATTACAACTTTGTTATTTCCTCTTTATAAGTAAAGTTAATGATAAAAACCTTATAAAAAGCAAAAGCTGCTTTGTAACAAAAAATAAAGGTGGATCTCATTCAAGTGAACAATTCACACACCCCAATACTAAGTTCATTTTTCGGTATTTAAATTATCACCTATTTCATGGGATAGTGTATACAGAGTAACATATAAATCGTTCCAAATATTATTCGCTCCAAAGTAGTCACTGTCCCTAGTTGAACATTTATTGATATGTAAGATAAATTTACACAAGCATCTTATTTGTTTTCAAACTCTACATTTTATGCAATTTTAAAAACATTTTTCAATAAAAGTTCAGATTTTTGTTGCTAAGACATCGTAAAAAAATTGGTCTAAAGAGTTTAGACAGTACTTTCCTCGCTGTCGGAAACGTGACGACTGCATGCCTATTATGTTTTTTTTCGTATTACATTTTTGAAGCGGAGTATTTTAAAATAAATTGAGTATTACTTTTTTCAATTTGGTCATTATTTGGCATGCCATGTTTGTATTTTTTTTATAATTGTAATGATTGCTTATTAAAAAAAATTAAATTGGACGAAGTCGTCTCTGGGGTGTATAATATGTTGCCTATGCAAATATTGTCAGGCGTGAACAGATAAAAAGAACACTCTGCATAGTACTTGTAATTTAAGACAAATACGTTTGAAGATGTCAAAGTATTCAATTTTGATTTAATCAATAAAATTAATTGACTCAGTCTTTAATTTTTTTCAGACACCCCGTATAAGCAAATCTAGAAAATGCAGTGATAAATCACAATCACTCATCATTCTTTACATATTTAAGATAGCATTTTTTCAGCAAAAGTTTGCGGCGGCGTCATCAAAATTTTACCATGCTTATAAATTTAAAACATCTCTAAGAGTTCAAACCAATCGGTTCTGTAGTTCCTGATTAAATCAATAATATAAATTCACGCATTCATTAATTTTTTTGAGTGACCCTGTATATGCAAATCAAAAAAATATGAATGGAATGATAAATCACAAGTACATGCTCATCATATTTTGTACATTTAAGATAGGATTTACTTAGCAAAATTTTGGGGTGACGTCATCAATTTTTTAGGGGGAAGAGTAAATACATTTTGATCAAAAATTTACCACGATTATGATAACTTTAAAATATCTCAAAGGTTTCAAAGCATTTGGTGTTGTAGTTTCTGATTTAATCAATAAAATACATTGACGCGTTCATTAATTTTTTTGAGTCACCTGTATATCCAAATCCAAAAAATATGAATGGAAAGATAAATGACAAGTACATATCTCTCATCATATTTTGTACATTTTAGGTAGGATTTATTCATCAAACTTTTGAGCTGACGTCATCAATTTTTTGGAGGGGATAAGTAAATATATTGTGATTAAAATTTTATCATGCGTATCATAACTGTAAACCATCTGCAAGATTTCAAAGCACTCGGTTTTGTAGATTCCAAATTAAATGTCAAAATGTTGTTACCTAATTTTGATTTTTTTTCCAAAAATCTGGACGTTTCGGGTACATGTGTAGGACTGTGTTATTTTATAGAATTTGAAACCCATTTACTAAGTACAATTTTGAAGTGACGTCATCGCATTAGTGGTGGGGATGATTAGACAAATTTTGGTTAGCGTTTTACCATCTACATGGTATTCCTAATATAAGTACAAAATTTCACAATAATCGGTCCAGTACTTTCGGAGATTATCTGTATAATAAAAATCCGGGACGACAGACAGACGGACAGACAGACGGAAACGGGAGACCTATTTCTTCGTCCTCTAGGGGTCATGAAAGGTTGAGAAAACGTAAAAGTAGAGAATCGGCCGACGGACTCGATTACAATACTTCCTTTGCTTACGCTCGGGAAGTAAAAATTATTATTTAAATGTTCAAAAGTGTAATATGCAAAGTGATAATACTTTAGAGTTAAATTCTTCATACGTATTCTATTTCTTCTAAGAAAAGATTTTCCCACATTTAATCTGTAACGGAGGAAAAGAGATGAACTGTATTTTTACAAATTCTATAAAAAATTCTTGTGTTAAGTGAGTAATCATCAACTTGATTGATGTTCTCAAGTAAATATTAAACATAAAAATACCTTCAAAGTATGTTTGCTGTTTTTAATTCTGTCCCCAAGGAGGTGAATTGAAGTAAAATTCTTAAAAAATCTTAGTTTCAAAATGTTTGGTGCAAATCTGGGAAATGGCTTCTATCACATAAAATTTCACTTATGGTTAGATAAACCTATTGAAATATGTACGAAAACGAAACAGATCTGTTAAATTCGAAAAAATATAGTAGGTACACAATTCCCATGAAACTTTTGCAATTAATACAATATTTATTAGAGTGAAAATAGTTGTAAAATATATTAAAACCACAGACCAGCAGACGCACATGGGTCGATTTGCGAATTTAGAGGAGGAAACTATGAAGGTCCTACTGTCAGCGGCGTACAGTAGGACCTTCATTTAACCTCTTTTTTGTAATATTTACCATTAATACATTTCACTAATCATTCATCATCCATGCCAGGGCGGTTTCCAAATTTCAAAAAAATGTACAACTGTGTTACCAACAAAGCGGAAAAATAATTCACAAAAAAAATCTAGAGCACCCCTTGATACCAGAATCATTTGTAGACACTGTGTATACAGGTGTATCAGATAAAACTCCACGGCCTAATATTTTGAGAACGAATAGAGATATTGAAATTCTGTAAACTCCATTGTTTTTAAGCTGAAAAAGGAAGCTTAATTTAGTACACTGCAAGTATAACGCATATATGGGGTTGGCACACCACCCCAAAACATGTTTCTTTAAATTACAACGTATATAATGTTCAACGGATTTTAGTAGAACATTAAATTATTATTACACCTAACAAAATCACCTAGGTGTTTATTTCATTTTCAGTAGATAAAAAAAATAAAAATTAAAAATTAAAGTTGTATACAGGATGAACCATTAAGCGCGCGTTCTTTTGATATCTCATTATTATTGAAAATAAAAACAAGTCAGAAGCTACAGTACAGTTCGTTGAATATATCTATTTTTACATTTTTTGATTGGTTTCTTCTTAGACTTTAAATTTATTCCAATTTTCTTGAATATTTTTGGCAATGAAAAGGTTCGCAAAAAATCGCAATAGGGTTATTTTCAAAATCTATCAATATTTTGTGCAAAGATGATCGAAGGTACGCGCTTTGTTTTGCTGTAAATTAAATTGAAGC